ACAAAAGCTGAAAAAGTGGAGTAACATATTCAATATAGTGAGAGAATGATGACTGTAATTTGCATCAGGATTTTATTATCATGAATTGAATATACCAATATCTTCAAACTTATGAGAATTCAGAGTAGTAAAGCAAAACTACTAAAACTCAATCATGACAGCAACTGTGGTCCCTTGCAAAAGTAAAGTTAATTAATAATAGTAATAATAATATAAGGGGAGATTGCACTAAAAAGTACTCTGCCTAAACAAGAAACCTTGGAAATTTTGGGAAGCGGGTTGAACTGATCATTTCTCGGCATTCTCTCCTAAAGTGCAGCTATCTATTTGGTACAAATCTTGTCAAAAAGAAATTTGATACAGTCCCTACTTTACAAATTGACTGATTTTATCATTAGAACAGGCTGATATAAGGAAGGAATAATGACAACAACAACAAACAAACTATTACATAAGTACAATCATCATCATTACTCCTGTCTTTTTGGACATTTTAGTATATTTTGTTTTTACTTATAGCAGAGATAATATGTTATTAGAATATTTATTGAGAACAAATGTAAAAGAAACAAAAAGGAAGAATGCAAAAAAAAAAAAAAAAAAAAAAATAATCAAATATATATTTCATTGAATAATATAGACATATTATGCCTACTTATTTTTATACTAATCCTTTTCACTTCTCTAATCAGTTTCTTGATGATAAGATTAAATTCATTACGGAAGGCACCATAGTTTTTTCTAATCTAAGTACTTCTGATTTTTCCTAGATTATCTTCAGGGGTAAATTACAAAAACAAACATTGTAACTGCAATAAAATCTGCATTCTGTTTTGATGGTGATTTTTAAAAACACTGAATGTAGATTTTATCACAGTTACAACAAGTTTGTCTTTGTAATTTACTCCTGAAGATGATCTTGGAAAAGATTGAAAGTACTTGGGTTAGAAAAAACTATGGCACCTTCCTGGATGAAATTCATCTTAACATCAAGAAACTGATTAAAGAAATGAAAAGGATCAGTATAAAAATAAATAGATGCAATATGTCTACATTATTCAATGAAACATGTTTGAATGAAAATATGCTGCCTAAATATTTAATATATTTTTTGTTTGTATGTTATTTTTATAGATATAATTTATTTAAGTATATGATCTGTTTTTAATTAAGTAGTAATAGTTACATTTACCAGTCTGAATGTTTGAGAGATTTTGTAGAAAATATGCACTTCCCTGACAGGAATTGAACCTATAACTCTTAATGTGAACCATCATTTGATCTGACATGTGGTTAACCATTCAGCCACAAAGAAGTGTCTGGTTTGCAAAGTCTGAATTACTTATCTATAAACACACACCTTCGAAGATTTTTCTCAATTGATCATTTCTGCTGACAAAGCATGTCTTAATGTAAACAATAACAACATATTATGAAATAGATTAAGCCAGAAAATCAATTAATATTTCCTATTTGTATGTTATTTTTATAGAAAAATATAAAAATAACGTATAAACAGAAAATATATTAAATAATTGTCAGACTTAATTCATTTCATAATATATATGTATGTATGTATACACTAACTTTATAGAGAAAATAATCTGAAAAAAAAAAGTCTTGTATCATATTGCCTCAAAATATTAAAATGAATTTGAAAGTTTTCACAAGATTTAACAGGTGATCTAAATTTTTAGCTATATGTAAAGATACAAAACACGCAGAGAGTAAAGTTTCAATTTTTTTTTTTTTTTTTAACATCTGAAAACAAGAAACAAATCTGATGATCAATAAGTTTTTAATTATTAAAATGAGCATGATACACTATTTAGCATAAAAATATGAAAAAACCAACATCAGTGTTCAACTACTGAAGGCAAAATATATTAGTACATTTAAAATCATGTAGGTTTTCATGGGGAATTCATTTATCTTTCAAAAGAATAAAAAATATATTTATCAAATTGAAGTTACTTAAAAAAAAAAAGTAAATAAAAAAAAAAAAGTGAAATATCCAGTGCTTCTCAAAAGTCTGCAACTGAAATATCATCTGAGAGTTGCTGTCAAGTCAAATACTAATGATAAGAAAAATAATATTACTTATTATATTACTATTAAATATAATTATTACTATTATTGGGTTTAATTTGTATTTTAGATAGTTTTCCTCAGAGATATTATTCTTTCAAACAGATAACATAATATTTATTATCAAATTAACTGAAAATAGTTGTAGAATAAATAAATTTTAAAAATAAAGATTGCAGTCTAAAAATATTGATATGTAATATAATGTCTCATAAATGTTAAATTCACACTGAAAAGTAACTGTAAACAATATCATTAATAGGAAACAGATATTACTTATATTTTTGTCAGAGTTTTTGAGATGAAGAGTTATCATTAATACTCCTTTCTACTTGGACCAGCATGATCATCTTGGTTGTTGTATTCACAACATATCAGCTGTTGTACACTCCAGAGTTCTTCAAGTGTGTGTTGTCACACATGGTAACCTCCCCAGAATTTTGAACTGAGCCCTTTATTCAATTTGCAACAATAAAAAATATGTCCACCAGACATAAGCGGAACATCTGAAAGGATTCAGAGGATCTGTAGTCCATAAACATGAAGATGGTATTCAAAAGCAGTTCAGCTCTTTAGAAATATCTCACCTTAGTGCAGACATTAGGTTTAAGGCTCCAGACTTTCACCACTAGATTGGTTAGAATGTATCTTGTTCTCTCGCAGTTGTGAGTTCAATTCTTGGGTTTGGTAGTGCTGAAAAGTCACATACTCTGGTTCAGTGGAAGAAACAAACAATACAATGGTGAATAAGACTGGTAAGTATTAACTAGTATGAAATATTTCCTAAAAATGGAAAGTGGAAAGAGAACAGTCTACTCCTACTGATTAAATAAAGGGTTTTCGTTCAATATTTCAATGTGGTGACCACATAAGATGGCAGACACTTTAAGAAGGTCAAAGAATGAAATGGACAAAATATTATGAGTACAACACACAAGCATGTTGGTCCAAGTAGCAAGAGGCACATATAGTAATAACTTTTATATTTCAATTTCTCTAAACTTGTGCTGGCATAGTTTTACATCACAACTGTTTTTTTTGTTTTTTTTATATAACAGGTAAGTGAATGAATTTTATGAGACAAAACATAACATTGTAGTTTTAGGGATTTTTTTTTTAAAGAAGGATTACATAGCTAAGCCTGGTAAATGATAAAAAAAACAAAAGTGATTTTAATTCTAAAAAGAGATATGGTTTTTGGCAACTCTAATGCAAACTATGTAAAATGTAAGGGATTTAATTAAAAATGTGTAAAATATACAAGAGCAAAGAGGTTATTAGGTCAATGCAAAAGTTTTCATTGGCTATATTATAATGTTAGAAAAATCTTACAAGTGTTTTTAACGTTTACTTGACACTTTATTACTGCATTACTGAGGGAAAATAGCATTCCATATGAAAAGAAAACATGTCAACATTCTGTTTTTCACTTTTTGCTTGACATAAAAAAATAATTTTTGGACAAGATAGTCACTTACAATGAAAAATGCATTTATTACAAGAATCTAAAATTAAGAACATCATGGCTAAATTGAGGACAGAATTGAGGCATTTTGACCTAAATGAGATCTACTGGAGAAAAAAAAATGTGTTGGTAAAATTTGTTATGAGTTGCTGAAACAAACTATTAATGTATAAAGTTACAATGAGTAATTGGCTTACTTGAATGATGCAGGAAATGAAGAGGAAAGAACTTTATCATGGTAAGGAAAAATGACCAGTGATTTTACTGCATGATGGTATGGGAAGCTGTTCTACATGCAGCATTTTCTTCATACTGCTTCATGCAATATTCCTTTTCTAGTCAGAATTCCAACAAATTCGAGATATCAAAAAATTCTTTTTTTTTCTTGGAGATCAAAACAAGAACCATTCTTTTATAACGGAAAACATAATTTAGTTGAAAGCTGATGTAAGATCATAGAAAAGCTATGAAAAATAATTTGACTGAATATGGCTATAATTTTCTATGAATAAAATATTTTGTCAAAAGTGTGTTCCAGATTTTTGCATCAACCTAATACATGTATAATAATAGCACAGTGGTTATGCATTTGATTGTAGGCTCAAAGGTGAGGTTCAAGCAAGTCCTATTAATTTGAAAGAAGAAAGAAACCTAAATCCAAAATGAGAACAAATAAAACATTTCAACTAAAAATAGGATGCAACTGGAAAAGATTGATACATATGATTAAATAAAAAGAAATATTTCTTACATGAATTTATCTGATATCAAAATAGTAGTTAATGGATATGTTCTAAGGGTTTGTATTAAAAATTGAAAAATGATTTATTGATATTCTACAAAGTTAATATTCTCAGCTATGTTTCTTTTTTTCAAATCGCTATTTTTCAGCTAATGCTGTGTTCGGCCTCTCTCGTGTATAGTTCTAGATCTGGGCAGGTATAGGGATATCTTTAAAAGAGGAAAACATTAATTTTATACCCAAAGAAGGTTGGGAAACAAAACAATGATAAAAATTACTAAAGATGAAAATACTAGCCTGATTAACTCATGGAAAGATGGTAACTGATCCTAGAATTTTAAACAAACTTTACAAATAAATGAAATTTTGCAGAGAGAAATAATTAATGCAAAAGAAGTAACCATCTGACTAGTTTTGATATTGAATATTTAAAATGGAATATACATAAAAATTATATAATTCTTGTATACTGAATTTACTGATTCAGAATGGAAACCAGTTGAATAAGAATAGAACAGAAAGAATGGACTGCAGTCTGTTGTATGCTTCAAACCAAATGAGTCACTTTATGAAAGAAGATTTTTATAAAAAAAAAAAAAAAATGCAAATTATAAAGAAGATTAAAATCTGAAATGAAAGAGTAAATATGTAGAGATATAATCCACAAATAAAAGATGATAATGATAGAGAAGGGGGACTGCTTACCTATGAGGAGTTTCATCATGGCTTTTAGGACTGTTAGATTCACTTGGTGTATAGCTAAAGAAACAAGTTGGGAAAGCATTTAGAAATAACACTCATCATGTAATTAAAAAAAAAATAATCTGTTTCTTTTTCAAATAAATTCTATAATCAAATACAACAGAAAATTTGATTGATTCATTTTTTTTTACAGCTTATGAACCATTTTCAGGTTATTTAAAGCCAGAAAATATTTTTATATTTTAAAATTCTTTTTTTTCTGAGATAACGATTTACTGATACAAACTTTACTAATTAACCCATAGCTAGGAGAGAAGTGGTGGATTCATACATTTCCCAAGGACATTGCACCACCTACACATCCAAGCTTACAGCACTTGGTATTGCCAAACAATCAGCCATCTAGGTATTGACTAGGCTCGACATTGCTTAACTTCAGTGATTGTACAGGGACCAATGTTTCAACACTACATAGCCATAAACCGTCAGGAGAAAAGGAGGCAAAGAAAGCTAATAAATCACAGAATATGTCAACATTTTTTTTTAAATAAAGGGATCAGTTTGAAATTCCCTGTACGTTATGCAGACATACACCTGATGAAGGCCGGAGGGTAGACCAGTTAAAACGTTGAGAGATAACAACAAAAAACTGAGGACAATAGCCCACACATAAATAATAACATTTTCTTTCATTGCATTTTAATAGTATAATAAAACTGCATATTTTCTTTGCCTATTTTTAAAGTAAATTTCCATATAATGATATGATAGTAGAAAAAAAAAGTTTTGAGATTTATGAATTTAAATAGCAAACAATGGGAATTGGGAATGCAAAATAGGAAAGGGTTATTGCAAATTGACATAACATTGATTAACTTTCAAACAAATCTTCTTGGCAGATAGTATTTTGCAGTATAAGCTATTGCTTCTGGAGATTTCATACGCAGCATTTTTGCATTACATTCAAGTACTGCTGAGTAATGGTGTGTACCAATGCCACAGTTCTCCTACGTCATCTAGAATATGCTGCCAATGATATTGGACTATGTCAATGCCTCTAAAATTGAATTCATAGGCTCAATACAAACTGTCTCAGGTAAATCGATAAAATCTGTCAAATCTTTTACATACCGAGGAAGAAAAATAAATTCTACTGAAAAAGATGCAAAAATTCACATAGCTAAATCCTGGGCTACCTTGAATAAAATGGATGTAATCTGGAAATCTGATCTACCAGACAACATCAAGCAGAGATTCTGTCGAGCCAGTGTAGAGGCAGTGTTAATGTATGGTGCCACTGCCTGGACATTAACTAAAACCCCTGAGTCTAAGCTTGATAGAACCTACACTCAGATGCTGCAAGCAATACTTAACATCTCTAGGAGACATTCAACTAAATCACTCCTCTATGGATGCATCCCTGATATTACTATAACCTTGTGCTTTGCAGGACACTGCTGGCAATCAAAACAAGAACTTGCAAATGATCTACTGCCCTGAACACCTAGCCATGGTCCAAGACAGGGAGGTTGCCTAACCCAGTAACAACCTACATTGACCAGTTATGTTATGACACAAAATGCTACCTTAATGACCTTCTGACCTTGATGGTTGGCGTGATACTCATGAATGGCAGAGATAACTTGACCAAGTAAAAAAAAAAAAACAAACTTCCGAGTACATTAATATGAAGAGAGCCTAGTTGGCATATACTACTAGTTGAAAGAACAGCATTTTTGTTTGATATGAATATGTACACAACTAATAACAATGTCTACACAATGCTTATGTTAATCTGATTTAGGACTACTAGTAATAATAATGTTAATTATTACAATGACATCAATTATTACTATCATATCAAGCACAAAGAAACTTATTAAATAATATTATATGCAGCTCAATGTAAAAAATTAAATATATTAAAGAAATAAAAACTAATTTGAGCAATGTGAAAGTAATGATGCAATTCACATGACAACACTAAACTAAAGAAAAAAAATCCTAATTCTAAATTTTGATTAAACAACTGTTTGATATCCTTGTGTTCTTGATGTTATGTTTTTGGCTAATCCATTTTCAACATTCATTGGTCTTTTGAACAGGAATAGAGGTCTTGACCCTTGTTTCCTGTTTAGGATTTAGTTTTCAGTTCATTCTAAAGTCTACTTCAACTCTATATTCCTAATGTCTCCATCTGAACTCTGAAATTTTATGTGCTAATTAAATCTTTAGCTTTTCAAATCTAGAATTAGATGTCTATCTTTCCTGTTGTCTTGCCCTTATGATAATACAACTCCACAAAATAACCTTGAGTAGCCTTGGGCCTTATATTAAGCAAACATTAGTAAAAACACATATATAAAAAAAAAAAAAAAAAAAAAAAGTTTTTTTTTTTTTTTTAAACCAGACAATGATGGCTGATGAATGGACTGGCTGAAAGATCGCAATAACAATAAAAAACACAAACAAGGGATTCAATTATTCAAGCAAAATTTGGAATGTTTTTATTGACACTTTTCAAACTTGTAGTCAAAAGTCTTTAGTTATATCTAAATAACATTGCTATAATAAAGTTTAAATTTATGTAGATAAAAAATTTTTTTAAATACCTTTCTTCGTCTTTCTCCACTAAATTCTGAAGAGTAGTATTCAACCGAAGCCTGGCTGAATTAACTTCTGAAAATAATGAAAAATAACAAAATGTAATTTTCTATTTTAAAATGTGTTCATAAAAAGTGAAAAACTACTCTGCATCATTTATAAATATTATTTACCCTTTTACTGTATATGGAATCCCCCTCAAAATATAGTGTTTTATATATTAGTTCTATATATTTGAAATAACAGTAGCCTGGCTTTCAATTTCAGTCAAAGTTTTAGTTTTAGGTGTTGCCATAAGGATATGACTACACAACCAAGAAATTCAAATTCATTTTGCATTGGTAGGACTAACATTTTGCTTGATGAAAATAGTCACATACAGAGTGCTAAAGGTTAATTTCAGTGAATTAGTAACTTCAAATTCTCAACTTATTTAATTAATATGCATTCATTACACATTTTTACATTTTATCCAAGAATAATATTCACTGTGAGTATCCATGAAAACTTCAGTTTTCCTATTTGAATTTTTTGATGAATCATAATTCCTAAGTTAATGACTGAATAAGCTCCTTGCCAGTTCCATGCCTATAAAATACCCAAAGAATTTCCTCTTTTGCATTGTTAAATATTTAAGCTTTGCAACTTTAACAAAATATTGCAATAACAATCATAATTCTGAAAGGAGGTCATTATTTAAAAAGGGTAGAAATGAAACAATGCAAAACTGACAATGTTTTCCTTTTCACTGGAGCAGATGTTTAATGTATGATAACATGATTATTTCTTCTATCTTAATGTAATCTATTTTCTTCTTGCTAAAACTAAAAAATGTCTGATGTAGCTTTTCCTGCTATCTTTCTTTGCAATTAAAACACTATTTACATGAGGTAATGGCAGGGCATGACGTACTAACAGAGGACTAAGCAGAATTATAAGACGTCTTTCTAGGTTTGATGGAACAAAAATATTAATTCAACATATTGACCACCCCTACAAAAAATTCACTTTTTAAAATAACATACTATCAAGAAAACTCAGAGAAATTGTCACTTACCCCTAAACACACACATATGCACAATAAAATAAAAAATATAAATCAGCTAGTAGTTTGGTTTTCATTTTTTTTAATCATTAAAGAATATTCTGAGAGAAATTTTAAACATTTTAAAATTGTTTCAATGTAAATCACTTAGTTTCTTTTTCTGTTCAATCTGAATATATCAGTTTTGCTGAGTTGAAGTTATGCAACACATATGTCAATGATTACCGTATTTATATATCATTTTTCTGTCAGCTTAAATATAGAAAACAATCATTACATTATCAAACAAAATGATTGGCTATAAAAAATATAGACAACATTGTTTTAAAGTTTTTTTAGTTTTATGTGTTCAGTAACAATAAATAATCTATAGACAATTTTCCCAATATCTTTTTTTTATATAAAAATAACTTTATTTTACACAAGAAAGTAAAATTTTCATATTACTGCAAAATATATGTATTTCAAACAATTTGTAAATCATCTAAGACTTACAGAATAAATCCTCTGTATTTTATACAGGTATTTTTACAGCTTATTTTATTAACTGAATTGCCAATCTTATAGGCAAAATCCCCCTTTTGGTTGGGTGTAGTTGATGAAAATAAGTGTAAATACTAAGGGGATATTGGTCTTTCTAGCTTTGGTTGGAGCCTACACTAGAAGACAATGAGAAACCACTACACTTACAGTAGCTTTCCCTTATCTCATCTCAGAAATAGATGCATCTTAATTAGTAGCAATTTTTAAGCTCTCTTGGATACAGGCACAAAAAAAGTTCAGTCATTAGCAAATAAATTACTCATAAAAATCTTATATCAATTCATATTTTTCATATGAGTTTTAAAATATTTGTACTGCTTCAAGTCAACAAAAAATATTTTCCAAGTGTTTAAAAACGTAAAAAATTCAAACAATTGAAATGTAAATAACTTAAAATTTGCATAACTTTCCACTATAACGTTGCTTTTTTATGAAAATAATTCCTTACCATTTCTATTTAATAGAAAAATAAAAACAAGGTTTCGTTCAATAAACGATTCTTTTGTTTAAAAATTGGTACGATTGATTTGTTAGGTTGTGTTTTTTTTACTGATTTTTTATTTTATATCCATTTCTACTTGATGTTGACCGTTTTTTTGGCTTTATCGTTGCCAGATTTCAAAGAAAGATTTTTTTTTAATTATTAGTGTGCACTGTCAATGTCTAAAAAAAAAAAACTTTCGAAAAAGCTTACCATTATTTTTATAATTTTTTAAATGAATAAATATTTCCTTCATTTAAAATTGCTTTTGAATTTGTCGCGCACACATTTAGTTTTTTTTTTACTTTATCCAAGGCACATGGATTTTTTTTTACAAATTATGATGAAAACAATCTTGACTTTCTATACAATCGTTTGACACGTATTTCTAAAGTCGAACGAAATATAAACAAAATAAATAAATAAAAGGAAATTTGAGGTTTCCAGTTCCTTTGATAAAATTGACTTAACTGTAAACAATTTTAAATTTGTACAACTTACATAAAAATTACTTTTTGATTTTAAAGTTTAAATTATATTTATTGAGGGTAGTATTTTTTTTTTAAATTAGTGATCATTGCACGAGATTTTTTATTCATTCTGATGTCACAATAAATTTTACAAACCAAACAAAAGAGATTTTTTTCTTTTCCCTGTTGGTAGTATATATTTCCTGACACATACAGTTTAAAAAATTAAAATGACCATATTCCAGTGTTATGAACATAATGAATGTTATTTTTTTATGAATGTTTAATTTCTAAATATTTTTTTTGCGACTTAAATAGTGCGATAAAATCAGCGAAGTAAGACATGCTCACTTCAAGGCTTATTTATGTGTGTATGTAGATTGTATAGTTTCTACGGTTCGTTACTAATAATTTTAATCGCCGTTGGTGGCAATAATAATAAAAACGATTTTGTTTTGTTAAGATTTTGTTGGAAGGAAGACATTTTTTTGTGGTGAGGGTTGAAACAATACATATACAAGTCAAGAAAAAAAAAAATAATATAACTACTTCTGGAACACATTTCCACCAAAGTGCCGCCTTGAGGAAAATTAGCGGCAGCAAAAATCTGCTCAATTTTGGACTCCGTTGTAATAACTTCTGGTTCGTTAACAATTTGCACACACCGCCATTTATTTAATCAATACTGTTTGTTAAACGTTCGCTGATTGGTTGGTTAAAAATCATAATAATATGTATTCTTTTCGCTGATTGGTCATATTATAGTTTAGTGTACATGTGACACACTTAATTCTCCGGTGTCTTAAGTCAATTTTCCTTTGTTTATTTTTACTGTTTTTTTTCCCAATTTCTCATTAATAAAAAAAGGTCTCCAGTAAGGTATTATTTTCTTATTGCACTCGTTTAAGTCTACTCACGGTAAAAAGTGAACAGCTGATTTGGTACTTGTGGGTTATCTGTTGCCACTTTTAAAATTAATTTTCCAACTTTTTCACAAATAGTGAGTGAAATACAGATGTGTATTGATTGATTGATTGTGTAGTGTACTATTCCAAAGATTCATTTGGCTGTCTAAAAAACGAAAAAAAAAAAAAAAACAATTAAAAACATTTTAAATAGCACATCTAACTTTATAAAAGATCACTAATAATACGTAAATTAAAACGTGGCGACAGATAACCCATAAGAAACGGATTTAAAAAATGGCGATATAATCCACAACATTATCGCATATTTTGTTAAGACATCTACTTTCATTTAAAGGACCTTTCTTATTGTAAATTAATTTTAATCCGAAATATGCTTTCGGGTGACACTGTCTTGATGTCAGAAAAGTGCAGGAAGTCATAGGAAAGCGAGAAGAAAGGACTCACCATAAAGCGTGCGAAGACTAAGAAACATTGTAGGGTAACAAAAGGAACAATCCAAGATACGAGCTATGAATTATTGGAGACATCACAATCAAGAAAGTACGGAAACTTAACTATTTGTGAAATGTTAACTACAGACGACGGAAAATGTAACAGAGAAATCCTAAGACGCATTGTAGTAGCAAAATAAAACTCCCAAAAAATAAAGTATTACAAGAAAATTTCGTTAGAAACAAAGAAAGGAATGTTGAACTACAGTGTAACCCGGATATAAGAGAAACCCGGATATAAGAGAGATTTTCTCTGGTCTCAAATTAGAGCCTGTGGTAATGTATATAAAATAGACCAAACCCGGATATAAGAGAAACCTGGATATAAGAGACTTCTTCTCCGGTCCCGACAACTCTCTTATATCCGGGTTACACTGTACTACGAAATATTATCGGCAGACCCCTCCTGACGTCAACGGTTGCCTCAAACGTTTTCTCTTTTCTTCATCGTCGTTGCTACCCTTTGACCAACGACCCAATGCTTTCAACGTTAAGGCACGTGACCGTTTTGAATGGACACCCATTCAAAGTGGTTTGAAGGTTGGCATTTACCGCCAGTCAAAGGTCACGTAACTTATCGCATCTCCGCCAATCTGCGGGCATCGAGTCAAGAAGACGCGTTTCCCCGTCTCTCTTTTCACCATACGGCTCAAACATCTAGACTTCGGTAAAAGACCTTTTATATAGTCAACTTCTTTGCCTGAAGCTACCTTCACCATACTTGACTTGACCCTAGCCCAACCTTTCCGGCTTCCCTACACAATAGGAGATTCTCTTCCAAAAAAAAGAAAAGCAACAAACATTTGTCACGAACTCTTCCAGAATCTCCACTTGTCAACTACAGCGAAAATCCAAGTTCTACGTACTTACATCCATCTCCGTTGAAGGATCGTCGCACATAAGAGAATTCATTTTTTCTATCAACACTTAACCGTTCTCTTACCGTTAACTCATCGACGGCAAGCAACCTAGCATCTTTAAAACTACCGTTTCCACAGCATCCAGCGAACCTTATCTCACATCCAAAGCAATAAGTTAAGAACCCACAAGCCTCCACACGTGGTACTTGTATTTTCTGGATCTTTCCCTTGATCTAAACTTCTATGTTGACGAACATTTCTCTTGCATCTTATAAACTCTGTGATTCTATCCTGGTCGAACTCATGTCGGAGTTTCATGACTTACCAGGTTAATCCTTTTTTAAGTTTCCATTGATTCTTCTTCTATTCTTCGGCTCCTTTCCTCTTCAGGAACATTTAGCGCCAAACATTACAATTTGGCGCGCAATAACGTTCAACCTCAACATCAACCGCACGCTTCACAGATTCGCCACACCTACTATCCAGAAACCAGGAACTCGACACTGAATTATTTCCTTCTTCACCATTGTCAGTTTGTTATTAAATAAACTTATATATGTTATGCCTTTTTTATTCGTGTTTGTCCATTCTCTACCGTTACTAACCTTGTCAAGAACCGTTGATATCCTACAAGAGTATCAACTACGCTTGTATGTGGGAGTCTGGTGGCCTGACACAAGGGCAAACAAAAGGAAATCACACTAGGCGACCAGGATTCTACTACAATATCAATCCTCATATATGACAGCGAATGCTAGACAATTTCTTCATATAAAAGGAGGAAACTTGAGTCAACAGAAATATGGTTCTACAGAAGGATGGACAGAATATCTGAGCAACGAGAATTTTTTTAGGAAAATCCACACAAAAAGGGCACTTATATTTAGAATCAGGAAGAGACAGTTGAAATTTCTGAAATGAGACACATGATGAGGAAAGAGGACTTGGAAAATTTAACACTTACAGGACATATTAAAGACAAAAAGGGTAGAAGGAAACAGATCATACGACACAAGTTCATGCAAGTAATGCCGATTAACATAAGACTAATCCTGGCAGCACAAACGGAATTATAAACAGAAAGACTTGGGAAGATAGCTGACGACCTACTGCTGTACTTTAATAAGCAATGCCCCAGTCCCGTTCAGCAGGTTCAACCAAAAAGAAAAATATTGTCGTGGAAGGAATTACAAATTCCAATCTAATGTAAACCCGTATCGTCACGACCAGAAACCAAAAATATACAGGACGTGCGTTTACTATGCACATCGTGCGAGATTTTGTAAACCATGGTGTATGTGGCCGAATAAAGGGAATATTAAACTAGTTCCGTCCTCACAACCATCTTCATCAGCACGTGACGTGAAAGCGGAAAAACTATTAGGGCTAAAACTAGGTACGTCACTTCAAAAGTCAGCCGCACAAACTCTCCAAAGTCTTCTGATAAAATACTTCAAATGAAAAAATTAACTTAACGGAAGCAGATATCTTCTGCGTATCTGCTCTCTACTGTTCCCACTGATTGAAGACTTCGAAATCCCAATCACACCCAAGTGTTGATGGTTCATCTAAAACGCATGCTAATATTTGAATTGCCTGATCTGTGTTTTTGTAATTATCTAAGTAAAAGGACTCGGTGATTGCAACAGGCAAATCTTCATCTAAATCCTATAATATATACAGCCTTGATATAAGAAATTTAAGCTGCTTGAGCGTGTATCATCTGTTTTTCTGAGAGAAAGCAGATGATGAGTTGGGCTCTTGCTTAAACTTTTGAATTTCAAAAATATTTTAGTATATTTCGATTTGTGGGAAAATAGCTGCTTTTGTTTTTCATTCGGATCCAATCAAAAGGATTCCTTCCAAATTCCGAGAAGTAAATCTGGAGCCTATCTGGATGAATAAATAGCGGGCCAGGAATTGAATTCGAGGAGTCGACTAACAGCTGTTGCGTGAATCAGGTCGCCACGGTTCAGGAAGAAAATAACACGGGAAATTTGACAACCACAAGACAAGAATTGAAAGAAACATCAAAGTCGCTCCTACATGAAAGAAAATTCTTCGGTTGGTGTGACTGTTCTGTTCTTCACTGTTGCCACGGACTTTGCTTCGAACATTGCATCTATTCTTTGAAAACTATTCAGAAAAGTATTTTTGTCTTCAATTATTTTTATGTTGTTTGCCTTTTCTGAGGACCTTATGCAGTATTGTAATAGTTATTGTAAAAGAGGCATATTTCATTTGCATTGATTATTTTTAAATACATGTTATTGGCCATTATTTGGCACGCAATAATTTGTGTAATTCTTTCAATTTTGTGTATTAACAATAAATTTCGTCTGTTATTTAAACTCGGCTCATGCTGTCTGTCTTTTTGTGTTTGAACTGTTTTTTCATAAGGTTTCTTTTACCAAATAAAAATCCTTTATTGGAGAAGATTCTATCAACTATAATTTTGCAAAAAGATTTTGGAATTTGTGTTTCATTTACATTTTAATTAATATTGCATTTGCTTAAATTCCAAACTTTTTCGTAAAATTCTGTGGGAGCCAAGACTGCTTACAGACATGTTCGCATTTTTTCCTCTATAAACGGACAAGCAGTAAAGAAATGTTACGTGTCAGGACACATTTCGGCCTACAATTCGAATGATGTTAACCAGGGCCGGTGCAAGTGTCTTGTACCCCCATCAAATCTATGATATGGGACTTCCCACTCTACTCGATATCAATTTTCATAAAGGTAGTAGTCAGATAAAATACAAATTTTATTGTAAGCTAACCATGGACAATAATGGATCATATGCAATATGTACAATTCAACTACAAAATTTATAAATACAATGTATCTAAATACAAATGAAAGACATATCATAATAGATCATTTCATCTTAAATAAATCAACACTGTTCTGCGGAAATTTTTAATATCAACTTTTTTTTCTTGTTAAAAAGTTGAATAATTTGAACACATTATGGATAAAATAGTGAATTTTACATAGACTTAGCATGAGCAAAACAAATTCATAGATTTGAACAGAAAAAATCCGAAAATCTTTCATTCTTTAATAGTCAATTGTGCTTAAGTTTAATTTGTAACGTATATAAATGTAGGTAGAAAAAAAGCAAATGTTGATAAGATAGCGAGGGTCACAAAGCATAGCCCGAGGTCCCCAATCAGGCTTGCAAACCCACCTCGTTCGAGGTTAGTGTGCACTGGCTCTGATGACAACCACGTATCAGGAGTGATACGAGGTTGGCATCATTCAGACTGTAGGCTAACA